AATTAAGGGGGTAGGAATAATAAAGAAAAAAACGGAAAAAATTGGGGGGGAAGAGGGAGGTTGAAATATTGAAAAAATCCTTACTCAAAAATGAAAAGATACCAATTTAAAATTTTTAGCAAAAATCAAGCATCATAAGAGAAAAAGCCCTTCGATTTTAAGAAAAATCTGATTAAAAATGGGGTATTTGAAGGGGGATGAAATTAAATGAAAAACAAATCAAAAATGGAAAGCGATATCGACATAAAATGTAAATCAAGCTCTATAAGGGAATGAAGCCTATTCATTCGGAAAAATAAATCTGAATAAATATGGGGAGATAAGGGGGGTTGAAATATTGAAAAAAATATTCTAACTCGAGAACAAAAAACGATATCAAATTGAAATATTTACGAAAAATCGAGCTTTATGAGGGGATGAAGCCTATTCATTCTGAAAAAAACTCAAATAAAAATGGGGGTTAAGAGGGGGGTCGACATTTTTAAAAAATCCTAACTCAAAAACGAAAAAAGATATTAGCTTGAAATTTTTAGCAAGCCCTTTGATTTTGAAAAAATCTGATTAAATGAGGGTTTTGAGGGGGGATGAAATTAAAAAAAAAAAACAAATCAAAAATAAAAAACTATATTAACATGAAATTTTTGGTACAAATCAAGTATAAGGGAATGAAGCCTATTAATTCTGAAAAATAAACCTAAATTAACATTAGGGGATAAGGGAAGTTGAAATATTGAAAAAAAAATCCTAACTCAGAAACAAAACACGATATTATGAGCTTTATGAGGGGATGAAACCTATTCATTCTGAAAAAAATCTGAATAAAAATGGGTGGTTAAGGGTGGTCGAATTTTTTAAAAAATCCTAACTCAAAAACGAAAAATGGTATCAACTTGAAATTTTTTGCAAAAATCCAAATAAAAATGGGGGGTTAAAAGGGGTTGAAATTAAAAATTACAAATCAAAATCAAAAAGAGATATCAACATTAAATTTTTATCAAAATTCAAGCTCTATAAGGGGTAAAAGCTTTTTTTATTTAGAAAAAAATCTAATTAAAAAAGCGATATCGACATCAAATTTTCAGTAAAAATCAAGCTCTATAATGGAATAAAGCCTATTCATCCTGAAAAATAAATCTGAATAAACATGGGGGATAAGGGGGGTGGAAATATTGAAAAAAATTCTAACTCAAGAACAGAAAACGATATCAAATTGAAACATTTAGGAAAAATCAAGCTTTATAAGTGGATGAAAAAATCTGAATAAAAATGGGGGGTTAAGGGGGTCTAAATATTAAAAAAAATTAGCAAAAATCAAACTCTATAAGGGGACAATGCCTATTGATTTTGAAAAAATCTAAATAAAAATGGGGGGATTAAGGAGGTTGAAATTAAAAATCATAAATCAAAAACGAAAAGAGATATTAACATGAAATTTTTAGTAAAAATCAAGCTCTATTAGGAAATGAAGCCTATTGATTTTGAAAAAAATCTTATTGAAAATGGGGGTTAAGTCGGGGTCTGTTAAACTGTGAAAAATATAATATAGAATGCCAAGCATTATATATTTGAATTCTAGTTTAGAATAAATTTATTATTTTCATTTGTTTTTTACCCTTTTATGTCAATAAAATAGCATTTGATTCATCAGTTTTTTTTTATTTAAATATACATTATGATTATTGGGATCAGAAAAATAGTTTTGCTTTTTAATTTCAAATATTATGTGTAAATAACCCGCCGTTTTACACAAACACACACTCTGTTTATTGCTGCGGAACACACACTAGGAAAACGGTCCGATTTAAACCATACAAGAGCAGTGTTGGCCATGTTACGCCTGCGTTGTACACCGTGCGTGATACGCAGCTAGGAAAACGTAGCTTTAGTAACTTTGCATCAGACAGGCGCCTTTGCCAAAAATCTTTTTTCGGTAATGAATTTAAAATGGCAAGATGATCGAAACCGATGCTCAGTTAATTTAATTAAAAGTGTGCTTTTAATTTATTTTAATTTAAAATATAACTGCGGTGATTTTTACAAAGAGGTTAAAAAAAATATATTTGGAAACAATAGGTAGATGTGTTTTTATATATTTTTTTTGTATATTTTCTAATAAAAAGTTTTGTAGAAAATCGCTTGTTTTAATTGAAAAGTATATCATTGAAAATTGTTTCGCCCTAATAAGAATGTTGCTTGCGCACCCATCCCCCCTCTCTAAAAATTCTGGATCCGCCACTTTGTCCTCTATTTTAAATGTTGAAAGTTGGCAACCCTACACTAAAATGGATGTACAAGAAAGTTCCGTATTTTTTTCTAATGAAAATGTTTCAAGATCAATCAAACGTAATCAATTCAATAATATTTCTTAAGCTGGCTGTTTTATTGTAGTTGTCAACAATTACTGTTACATTTTATGTTAGGTATTACTCAAGGTAAGTAATGCAAGGTTATCAATCTCAATTGAAATTCTAAGTAAGTGTTAGTACTAATAATAATAACATTTTTATTCATTATATGAGATGTTAGGAATATAGAATCTGATATCGGTTTTATTTAATTATTTGAAAATTTTTCATGGAATAATGAAAGATATTTATGTTTAATTTGGACATGTTCAAGATGATTTATTTATATTTATTGTTTTGTACTTTGGAAACGATGTCAAAAGGGGTGAAATGAGTTTTTATTTAAATTAATAGCAAGTTTCATAATATAGAAAAATCAGTTTTCTAGTTTGAACAAGTCTAGCTGTGTTTTACATTTTAATTGATCCTAGATGCCTAAACAGTCACAGTGTTATATCTTCATAACATCATCTATATTTGTTTACTAATTCGAGTCTTGAACAAACTATACATAAAGTTGGTCCAAGAATAGTGTATATGGGATTCCGTATTCTACTCTTTTCTCTTTACCCCAACCATCGTTAATTTTTACTTGGTGGGCTTGATTTTAGTACTTATAATATGACTTTACCAAAAATAGATAAATTTCCCTAGTTCCAACATTTTTTAAATCTACTATTTGACAAAATTCCAAAATGTATAAAATGAAATATCATTCACATAACCTCTATAAATAATATTAGGCATAATTAGTTAAAATAATGGTAAATTTGTGATTTGGGGTGGATTTTGAACACAAATACGATGTATTTTGCGATTGTATTACTAGTTTTATTTTTAGTACCACATAAAAATGGGGGTTGTGTATCACATTTATCATGCAACCTCTTTAACTGTCAAAAAGGCACGTGGTTTATAATTAGGCATTTCAACGTGATAATGGTTAGCTATAAAGAAGATGATACACAAACCCTTGCCGGAGTGACCAATTCGTAAACAAAATGTCTTCTCGTAAAACGATCAGTTCTAGTTTTTACGTGACGCTACGGATAAAACTGTTATAAAATCACACACTAACTCGTGTTTTTGAACAAAACCCACCTTCAAGGCACACAGTTACCGTTATTTAAACAAATGATCCACAAAAACAACTTAGTAGACAAATAATCCCTTATCTGACTGCAACAAGTGGCATGTCGTGTTTTTGCTTGTTATTTGTAGTTAGGTACAGAGAAAGGGGTGACCAACATGTAGTATGTACTGGTGGTGGGAGCTGTCAAATTCAAAATAACATTTCTTATCGATAGAGTTTTTCGTTTTTTTGCTGGCAACTAAATAATTTGCTTCAAGACTTCTATAACAATAAAACAATCCCTTTACAATTATTTTCTGTCCACCGGTTTCACTACTATCGATGTATCGAAATTCCTACACCGAAAGCATCAAAATCGGACGACAAAAATTACTTGCAAAGGGATTTTTTATTGTTATAGACGTCTAGATTTAACTTATTCCATTGTCAGCAAAAAACGAAAAACTTCATCGATAAAATACATTATTTTGAATTTGAAAGGATACACGACAGCACCCACCACCGAAATATACTACATGTTGTTCACCCCCCTCCCCTGTACATAACTACAATTAGCAAGCAAAAAACACGACATGCTACTTTTTGCAGTCATCATGCATGCAACCATTTTTGACAGGAAGTTGAAATGTCTAATTATTGTATTAGGTATTTCAGACAAAATAACTGTCTGTGGGAAGGGTGAGTATATCTAAGGGTTTTGCGACATACGATGTATTCTTTCTACAACACATGAAATCACGAATAATGGATTAAATTTAAATATTTTAAGTCGAGCACAAAGAAAATATTATTTTTTATAAAACCGCTTATACATTTTTATAAATGGACAGGCTTAGCGACTTGTATGTCGAATAAAAATAGTGTCCAAGATGAAAGGCTATGTCGCAACGCCGCCCTTAGATATACCAACATTTCTCACTGGAAGCTATTGTTTGACAGGTCGTTGGAATGTCTAATACTGAAAACAAAGAAATGTGTCAAACTATCATAACCAATTCAAAAAAGTGTAGACATAGTTCTAATATAACTACACAAAATTTGATAGTTATGTCAGTGTACAATAATGGCAAAAACTGATTTCCTAGAATGTAATGTATGTGGGTTAAGTATTAGCAATATTAACAATGTGAATGAAAAATGAAACCTATTCAAATTACTTCTACATTTGTTTGGTAATGTTTTCAAATTAAAGAACGTCACAAATCACCATCATAAATATTGCTAATTTATTTACTGGAATTTTTATAAACTCACACTATATAATCAACGATTTGCAAATTCGATAATATTGCATATCTTACATAATTCCCCGAACATCTTGTATAACAAATCACGCTTAATTACAATACGAGATTAGATGCGCGCCTTTCATTTTTTCAAATACATATACGAGTAGGTAGTCACAATTATTCAAGTTCAACCGTGAGTTATTTTCGCATCACCCTGTAGTGACGACACCAAAATAATGGAAAGTGATAATGTCCGGAGGGTACGTTGCCGTAACCGAGCTCATAAATAAAATTAGTTCAAGAACGACAAAAATAAAATAATGAAAGACTTACACCCAGTTGAATTTCATTGTTTGTCACGGGGATGTATATACCTATCGATACTTGTATCACTGAGTCGATTGAAACCACTAGATTCAGCAACGGATTAGGACGTATATTTATAAATTCTGATGTAAATTTCCCCTTCACTTACAGCCGATCTGCTGAATAGAAAGTATAAATACCAAGATGACTTATATCTCATACTCGTATTGGGCGGATGTATGTGAATACAGATATTTGCAACAAATAAATTTTTGATATTTTTATACTCGATTTTCTTGTACCATCTTAAGTAAAGGAGAATCACTTGCTGCGGTTTATTGGCATATAGGTGCAATAGAAAGAGAATAACAAACTAGTATGTAGATACAATCTACTGTTTTATAATTTGAGCAATTATTACTTTATATTATTTTTGTCCTAAATCGATTAACCACCTCATTCATATGGTAACCTCTTCACCACTGCATGAATGATCTTGTCAATCTGCAATGCAATGTACCTAATATTTGAAGAAATGAGAAATGGGGTGAGGACTCGCTGTGTATTAAACTTAAGGAGACTGAAAGAAGCTAATGAAAAGGAGTCCAATGGAGTGAAAGCCCAGAAGCTCCTAATTATAAATTATAGACCTCTCTAAAGAGGTGAAATAGCTAGATACCTTTAAAACGGATACACATTTTGTCTGCTAACGATCTGTTTATGTTTAAAAACCATGATATATTTCACTTCAAAGGTATGGCTGAACATTACATTATCGAACTCTAATTTTGATCGGAGATACCAAAACTGTTCTTACTCCAGCTCTGTATAACAAAAGTAAAGCTTATAAAAGTGTAATCTTAAAAAACAGTACCAGGAGACTTATTTTCAAAGTATGGCAGCACTCATTTATCTCAAGATTCTCATCAAAAATAGCATACGTCAATGTGGAAACGCTGTGTTTAAAGGCTTCATTTCTTAGGAGAATTTTAATTATCTCTAAATAAACCGAGAGAAACAGTGAGTTTACACTGGCCCTAAGGGCCATAAAAATACTGTTTTACGTTGACGTATGACATTTCTCTTGAGAGAAATGAATTCTCTCGAGTTTGAAAATAGTCCCATGTGGCTATCAAAGAAATAAAAAGTTTTTGCAATAGAATAATTATTAACAAAAAAAAGCGGTCCAAACTAATTCTAAAATACATGGGCGTATGCGGGAATTTGTCTAGGGGGACAGGGCAACGTTATTTGAGTGTAAATTACACTAAATTTTATACAATAGGGCTTGAAGAGAAAAATACAAATATAGAAGTGGTTAAACAAAGTTAGTCTTCATTTAAAGATATCTTTATGAAGAAGAGGACTGGGTTATATTTATTTTTTAACTGATAAATAAACAAAGGGGTTGTAGGTGTGTACACACTGAACATTAGGAGAAAATGAAAGAATTTGTATTTAAAGTGTGTATAGGAGAAATTGTTTAAAACAATTTCACTTTATTTAAAATTAGTCAAGTGCTTTCGCCGATTAAGGCATCATCAGGACTCTAAAAAGATTGTAGCCAATATAGATACAAATTAAGTAAAAATTAAGTTAAACTTACTCGTCAAAAAACGGTAAGAATAAAGAAAAAAGACATCTAGAAATGTATACACATAAGTTACGAACTCTGGTCCACATAATAGTCCAGTAACTGAAGACCTGAAAATATGCAAAGCTGTCATTAAGTCGGTCCAGATTTTCTTTGTGGCTCAATTCTTAGGTCTTGACGGTTGCTTTCAAGGGCGAAAACTTTTACCAACTCTGCTGCGTCGGAAAGGGCCCAAAATGGACCCTAAAACTGGTTTCCCGCCAATATCTTCCACAATATGCAAGAACTCCGAAAACGTATGAAAAATGTAAATAAACAAATCAATTTTGTTTTAAAACGCCAGGAAGATACTGGAAAAAAATTTCTGAGATCATTCGAGACATCTCAAGATCCCATTTAAAACAAAAATGGGATAAAAAAACTATTAAAAGAAAAAAATATGAATGAATTACTATAAAGTGGTCCAAAATAGTGGGAAAACGCAACTTTGACCCCTTTTTCAATGTTCTTGACAGGAAATAACGGGCTGCAAGGCACATGGATCGATACCTATGGGTTTTCCCATTGTAATGAACTTTGAATCATCGAAAAATATCAATTTTTGACCGAGTCCTGAAACAATTTGTCCATCCGTTTACAAGCTAATCAGCATGGCTATAGAGATAAAGCAGGGGCTGAACGAGGGAACTTTTGATTGCGGTTATCTCGAAACCTGTCGAATTTTCGACAAAAATGATAGGAACCGTTTTTGTAGATAATGATAAAATCTTTCTTTTTTATCTAAACAAAAATTCTCTAATTTGCATATTGTGGAATATATTGGCGGGAAACCAGTTTAGGGACCATTTTGGGCCCTTTCCGACGCAGCAGAGTTGGTAAAAGTTTTCGACCTTGGAAGCGACCGCCAAGACCTAAGAGTTGAGCCACAACGGAAATCTGGAGCGACTTAATGACAGGTTGGTCCCTTCAGTTACTGAACTATAAATGCGTAGAGCCACAACATCGAGTCCCACCACCAAATTTCTAAATGTATTATCTATCCTGGGGTGGTGAAGTTGCGAATCATGGATGTCGATTTTTTTTTATGATTGTCAAGAAGAGATTATAAAATTGTCAGAGGAAATAAAAAGAATTGTCGGAAAGGTTTTTTTTTTTTAAAGATCAGATTAGGTTTATTTTTGGTAAAAGGAAATGAACATGTTAATAGGATTATGAGAATGGAATATAAAAATAGATGTTAGTAGTTAAATAGTTAAATAAAGTTGATGAAAAGATAGAAAAGGTAAAAAGTTTTATTTGAAGTAAAATATAAAGGTGGAAATATAATTGGAAGGAGAATTTTGCAACTAAAAGGCCAGATAAGATAGCAGAGAGGAAACGAGACGCAGGAGGCAAGGCAGGAGTTAGAGTAGGTAGAGTAGGAAAACTGGAGATATGAATTACAGTAATAAGGCAAAAGAGTAGGGAATAAAGTAAAGAATTTAGAACAGTAGGGGTAGAAGAAAGAAGAGAAGCATTTTTTTTAGCATTCAATTTTTTTTTATTTAATTTTGGTTTTAATTTTATATTGTACATTTTTAGAGTCGAACCACCCCTTTTAAAGAGTCTTGGGCAAAATTTTATTTTTTGATACTTGCTATATAGATATAAAGCTATATAGATATATAGATACATAGATACTGTCACATTCAAATGATACACGTAACATTCGTTGTCACCTCATATATAACGTTCCCACATCCGATTTTGGATGTGACAACGTTTCCCATTATTTCTAGCATCACGTGCATGTAGAGGGTGCTGAAAGGCCAAATATGAATTTTTATGTGGAGGTGAATTCGTATTTTCAAAATATGCAACTTTTCATTTTAGATCGCGGTTTGACCGCTAACACTAGCATCGCTTCATTTCTGGTACCACATGCGCCATATACGCTGCAATTAGTAGTGCTGTCATTGCTACCGATTAATCGGTAGATCTACCGATTTTGATTTTAATCTATACAAATCCACCGATATACCGATTTTTTAGGCAATCTACCGATTTTTCAAATAATCTTTGATTATATTATACATTCACTTAACATTGCATTTTCTATCAAAACTACCATACAATTTGTATAAATGGAACGATATTTTCAGAAGTGGTGTAGCTCAGTGCTTCACTTTTGATGCAAAGGAAAAGACCTATTATCATTCTTCTGTGTTTAAGAATCGTTTAAAATAAGGCCAAGGCCTTATGTGTGAGTAAAAAGGGCAGAGGACGATTTGGTATTTGTGGCTGCAAACAATGAATAACAAAATTTCTGGTATTCAAAATATAGGTTTGAATGAACAAGTGTTTTCGAGTTGCGTAAACTTAAATCTTATATTAGATTTCGCGCCAGTTTGACGATTACAAATAACCTTTTTATTTAATTTTTTCATTTTATCTTTACGAAATTATTGAGGCCCTCCTAACTATCGGGTCTAAATATTGCATTCTTTCCGGCAAGAAAATTTGCTTATCCTCACTTTATTACACATTCTCCACGTTTCCGAGTTTCCAAGTCCTAAAACTCAACCAAAATGTATACAAAGTGTATAAAGAAATATCTTATAACATTACAGAATACCTATTGTCTCAAACATCGGCGAAAAATTAAACTTAGCTTATTCATGATTTATGGATTGGCGCCAACAAAATAAGGTGAACTCCTTTCCAGAAAATATTTTAATGGCTTATTTTGGGGAGCTATCGAAGTCTTTTAATTCTTCTACATTATGGTTAATTTCAAAGCTTCTCTATTTACCTTTAAACCCGGTCATACATTGCAAAGAAACGTAGCGCGTAGCTATTTCGTAAAAGAACAAACATGCGTTGCCTGCTGCGCTATTGCCAGGCTGTGTAGTTTATCACTTTCATTATTTAAAAATAGTTTGTACCTATAACTCACTAATAGCAACAAGTTTTATTAATTATAATAGTTTCGAGATATATTGCGACACATCAAGCATCCCCACCAATTCATTTTCGTACCTAGTGTAGTGTTTCTCACTCCGATGCATTGTAGGTAGAGTTGTTGCAATTAGGGCTGTTACGGAATAGCTTTTTGACGTATCTAGTACGATCTGTACCTGTTCCAAGTAGATACCTATTCCAAATACCTATTCCCGTTACAAGCTATTCCAATTCTAAATTTTATGACAGAATATTGTTGTCGCTTGGCAAATATTCAGCAGGGAGTAGGGGAATCCCTGAATCTGGTGAATCCCATAAACATAATATACTGGATTGTCTCTGATATTTAATATCGATCGATATTGTATTGAACTTAAAGCGTGCTATTGTTTACATAATAACATTAATTAAATTATTGTTCATTATGAATAGACGTTCGAGTGTAGTATGGAATTTTTTATTCGGTGGTAGATGACAAAAAATAAATTACAAAATGTAATGTGCAAAACAGTAATTTCTTATAAAACCGGTGTCTAATTAAAAAAAAAAACACCTTCTAAGAAAGCACCCTACAGTACAATTACAATTACTTTGAATAATTTTAAAAAT